CTTCACTGACCACATAAAACAGATTTTTACCTCTTTAGGAGAGTTATAAATCCCCTGCCCTAGCAAAGTTTTGGTCCAGCAAGAGAGCCCGACAATTAAATAGCATGCCATCATGCAATTTCTATGTGTGTGTATGTGTGCACACACATTTGCATGCACACATGTCTACCAGTATGGTAGCTAGAATTCAGGGCTTTGTAGCCTTGCTTGGCTTTATTGCTGAAAGCTGGTTCTCTATCTTGAATCACACCTCCACTTCTGTCTTTCTGCTGGTTAATTAGAGACAGGTGTCTCAAGAACTTTTCTTCCTGGGCTGCTGCCTTTGAATCGCAGTCCTCAGCTCTCTAGTTCTCAGCTTTCTGAGTAGCTAGGATTATAGGTGTGAGCCACCAGTACCCTGGTCATTCATACAGACGTTGTTATGATTTTAGTGTGGGCTTTGGTCTTTGACAGACCTCAGATCAGATTCCATTGGTTGCTTTGAACTGTCTGATTGTTTTGTTTTGCTCAGAGACTCAGTTTCCTTCTTTGTAAAATGGAGGAAATAATCTGTCTCAGGATCGTTATAGGGATGAATTGAGATTTGGGGTGTAAAATATTCAGGCCAGTACCTGCTAAAGAGGAAGTACTGAAGTTGGTAACTAAATGGTAATCATGGTGATTCAAAGGATTTGAGGCTCAGGCTTCTGCCCTCTCTTCAGCCCAGCCCCTCCTAAACAGGAGGACACAAGAATCTGTAGCTTCTGGAACAACCTCGGCTGGGCCACCTGACCTCTTTGTCTCCCCAGACAGCGCCCAAGAAAACCTCATTTGGTTCACTGAAGGATGAAGATCGGATCTTCACCAACCTGTATGGCCGCCATGACTGGAGGTGAGGCAGTGCCCTTAGCCTGCTGGTCCCTTCGCAGGGCCTCTCCTTCACTGTTTTCCCCACTCTGTCTAGGCTGAAAGGTGCCCAGAGTCGAGGTGACTGGTACAAGACCAAGGAGATCCTGCTGAAGGGGCCTGATTGGATCCTCGGCGAAATCAAAACATCAGGCCTGCGGGGCCGTGGAGGTGCTGGCTTCCCCACTGGCCTCAAGTGGAGCTTCATGAACAAGCCCTCAGATGGCAGGTGAGTAGGGGAGACAAGACAGGCTTGCAAGAGAGTCTGGGGATGGCTGAGATTTATATGACCCTTGAGGCTGTTTCCTGAGAAACTCTAACTTGAATGAGATAAGAAAGCTGGTTGTTGGTGGCTTATGCTTGTAATCCTAGCTACTCAGAAGGCTGAGAACTGAGGGTTATGATTAAAGCCACCTGGGCAAAAAAGTGTGAGACTCTTACCTCCAGTTAACTACAAAAGAGCCAGAAGTGGAACTATAGCTTACGTGGTAGAGCACAAAAAAACTCAGACAGCACCCAGGATTGGGTGCTGAAAAGAAAATACACCCAGACTATGAGTAGATGGGATTTTTTGTTTTTTGGGGGGGGGTGTCTGGTCATGGGCCTGAACTCTGGGCCTGGGCGCTGTCCCTCAGCTCTTCAGCTCAAGGCTAGCGCTCTACCACTTGAGCCACAACGCCACTTCCAGCTTTTTTTTTTTTTTTCTGCTTATGTGGTCCTGAGGAATTGAAACAGGGCCTCATGCATGCAAGGCAAGCGCTCTACCACTGAGCCACCTTCCCAGCCCTAGATAGGATTTTTAGTTTTCTCTGGCATTCACCTTCCTCAGGGATTTAAGGTATAGCAGAATCAATAGGAAAGTTTGATTCCGGTAGGTTTGGCTGTTCAAATCTCAACTTTGCCTTATACTAATTATAGGGTTGTTATGGCTATATACCCCTTTTCTGCACATGAACATACTATCATTTTGGAATAAAAAGATAACAATAAGGGGCTGGGAAGGTGGCTCAGTGGTAGAGCGCTTGCCTTGCATGCATGAGGCCCTGAGTTCGATTCCTTAGCACCACATAAGCAAAAAGAAAAAAGCCAGAAGTGGTGCTGTGGCTCAAGTGGTAGAGCGCTAGCCTTGAGCTGAAGAGCTGAGGGACTGCGCCCAGGCCCAGAGTTCAGGCCCCACAACCGGACACCCCCCCCCCAAAAAAAAAAAAAAAGATAACATTAATTCAGCTTTTAACCCATACTTTGGTTGTCACCCAGAAAGGAAATAGTGAAAATTAGCTGCTCTTTCTCTCTTGGGCCCAGAGATTGGAGGTTGAGGAAGGCTTGTTGTGACCATGAGCAGAATTTGTCCCTCAAGGAAAGCACAAGGAGGGATACTGGGACTGAGCAGCACAAAGAATGTCCTGGTGGTTATTCCTATTCAGAGAGAGTAGACACTGAGCTCTCTCATTGGTGCTGAGTAGGCATAGCTCCAGGGGACATGGTGGGAAGTCAGAGAGGGATCAGCTGTGTCTCTAGACATCGGTGAGGCCTCCCTGGGAGGAACAGAGACTCAGTCCTTGTGGGATTGTGTAGCATACCCGACTGACCTGTGAGCCCCACAGGCCCAAGTATCTGGTGGTGAATGCTGACGAGGGGGAGCCAGGCACCTGCAAGGACCGGGAGATCATGCGCCATGACCCTCACAAGCTGGTGGAAGGCTGCCTGGTGGGGGGCCGGGCCATGGGTGCCCGTGCTGCCTATATCTACATCCGTGGAGAATTCTACAATGAAGCCTCCAATCTGCAGGTGGGCAGGGGCAGCCTCAAATGTGCACTCCTCCCTTCCCCCTACTTCCCTATCCCGCTGTTCTGGGATGTTAGTGCTGGTCTCTGGAGCTCAGCTGGCACAGCGGTGGCCATGCCTGTATGCAGACCGAGCAGGACCAGGCCTTGACGCCTTTCTTCTCTGGGCTCCTTCTTTATCACCAGTGCCTCAACTTGGAAAGCCTTCAGGGGTTCAAAGCCCCTGGAGTTAGAGGCGCACTTCTAGGTTAGGCTGGGGAATTGACATCTTGTCCCTCAGGTGGCCATCCGAGAAGCCTATGAGGCAGGCCTGATTGGCAAAAACGCCTGCGGCTCTGGCTACGATTTCGATGTATTTGTGGTGCGCGGGGCTGGAGCCTACATCTGTGGAGAGGAGACGGCGCTCATTGAGTCCATCGAGGGCAAGCAGGGCAAGCCGCGCCTGAAGCCGCCCTTCCCTGCGGATGTGGGTAAGACCTCACGGACCCTGAACCTTGTCTTGGCTGAGGCTGGCTTGTTGCCTGTGGGTGGTTTTTGTGGGATTTCTGGGTGCAGGGCCAGAGAGGAGGGTAGTACTAGCATCCAGGCTCTGCTCTGCCTCCACAGTGCCCATTCTGGGAGCTAGGGATGTGATGGTGAGCATGCGTGAGCGCCTCTGAAGTCGGGGTCCAGCCTGGGTGGGGTGACTAGTGAGTGAGATGGGCTCTGCCCACGAGATCCAGCCCTGGAACAGCTCCTGCTGCAAGAGCCCGCCCCGCCCCGCCCCTGCCACCAACCCCGTTCCTCATCTCCTCCAAGGGGTGTTTGGATGCCCCACGACCGTGGCCAATGTGGAGACAGTGGCTGTTTCCCCTACCATCTGCCGTCGTGGGGGCGCCTGGTTTGCCGGCTTTGGCCGAGAACGCAACTCTGGTACCAAACTATTCAACATCTCCGGCCACGTCAACCACCCTTGCACTGTGGAGGAGGAGATGTCTGTGCCCCTCAAGGAGCTGATTGAGAAGCACGCGGGTGAGTCCTGCTGCCATGCAGGGGCTCAGGACAAGAGCCAGGCTGAGGGGGCTGACGAGAGTCCCGGCTCAGGACGAGGCAGCTGTGCCTGCCCCAGCTCTGACCGCCCTTTGTTGGGGGGACTGACTTGGGCCCTCAGGAGGTGTCACAGGTGGCTGGGACAACCTTCTTGCCGTGATTCCCGGTGGCTCGTCTACCCCCCTGATCCCCAAGTCCGTGTGTGAGACAGTGCTGATGGACTTCGATGCGCTGGTGCAAGCGCAGACAGGCCTGGGCACGGCCGCCGTGATCGTCATGGACCGCTCGGTAAAGGGCAGCCGCGCCCACTCAGTCCTCCTGCTAGCTTGGCTTCAGCCTCCCTCTCTGGGACTCTTCTGACTCCTACTTCCTGCAGCCCGAGATACCTGTGCAGTACTGCAGAAGGGAACCAGGCCGCTGCACAGGATGCCCTAGACTGGGCGGTGCTTGGCCCAGGAAGCTAGCACCCAGGGGTGGGATGCTGCTGGGGTCTACAGCCCAGGCTCCGCACAGACCGAGCCACCTGTTCGCTTGCTTTTTCTCCCAGACGGACATCGTGAAGGCCATCGCCCGCCTCATTGAGTTCTACAAGCACGAGAGCTGTGGCCAGTGCACCCCGTGCCGAGAAGGTGAGCATTGGTAGGCTGGAGCTGCCCGCAGGGGCTTCTCAGCAGCCACCCCCGTGGCCTGCGCCCATCCCCTGGCTGGGGAACATCAGGCCCCCTTGCTGCTGTGGCTGCAGGTGTGGACTGGATGAATAAGGTGATGGCCCGCTTCGTGAAGGGGGACGCTCGGCCGGCGGAGATCGACTCCCTGTGGGAGATCAGCAAGCAGATAGAGGGCCACACGATTTGTGCTCTGGGAGACGGGGCCGCCTGGCCTGTGCAGGTACTCCCCACCCTGCTGGGTGGCTCTGTCTGGTAGCCCTGAGAGCCCAGGGCATGGGGAGGCTTTGGGACCCTGCGTCACACAACCGCCTCTCTCCCCGTCCCAGGGTCTGATCCGCCACTTCCGGCCTGAGCTTGAGGATCGGATGCAGCGGTTTGCCCAGCAGCACCCGGCCCGACAGGCGGCCTTCTGAGCCCCGTGCCCTGACCTGCCGTCTGGATTACTGGACAATAAAGCACGTGCCTCCCACTCTCCCATCCCGGCTTGTCTGTGACTGCATTTCAGCCTGCGATCCCCACTACCCCCCCTCCCCGCTTCCCCCTCCCCTCCCCCTCCCCCTCCTCCTCAAGAGCCCTGTTCCCAGTGCCAGCAGCAAGATAGAGTGGGGACCAAGGGCCAGAAGCAGGTGTTTATTTGGGGTTCACTACTTGGGGTGAGGTGGCTGAAAGGCAGGGGCTAGAATGGGCGCCGTAGGTGGGGAAGAGCCCGGGCTCCTTGCAGCCTGAGCGGTGTCCCAGCTGTGGGGGAGGGCTCGCGCAGGCCCGTGCTCACGGGTCACCACACGGGGGTGTATCGTCCAGCGGGTGCCACAGCTCCAGCCGGTGGTCGCAGCGGCCCAGGCACTCGTGCCAGTGGCGCAGGCGCTCCCCACTGGCCTGGCTGCTCAGCTGTACCCCGCCTGTGGTGGGGGACGGGTGAGGAACAGCAGGACCCTTGGGGCTCTCTGTACCCCGTATCCCACTCACCAATGAAGTCATCGGCCGTGCCCAGGTCGTAGTCCCACACAGACACCAGCAGCGCCTTCTGGGCCAGCTCTTCCCTCCGGCCCGGGTAGAAGAATTCCTGCAGGGAAGGGGCAGGAAGGAGGCGGCGGGTCCTTCGTGGCTTCAGAACCAGGTTCCGGCCAGGCTGGGGCCCTCCTGGCACAGGCTCACCTCATTGAACTCGGGGTTCAGGGTCTTTCTCCGAACACTGGTCTTGTACTTGGACTTCTTCCCCCCGTTTGGGTGCAGGAAACTGGTGAGGGAGATGGGGGCGTTGGGGTGACCCGGGATCTGGGGAGCTGCTGCCTCACCCCACCCACTCGCTTCTACTCACAGGCGGACAAAGGGGTCTGAGTAGCCGTTGGCGTCCATGGGGGCCAGGTGGGCACAGCGCAGCACCCCCACCAGCAGGCCGCGGCGCTGGGAGCTGTAGCACAGGGACAGCAGGATGCGCCCGCGCTCCTCCCCGGCCATGGCCTCCGCCTCTTCCTGTGGGTGCAACCTGGGGTGAGCCTGGCCCACCCACAGCCCAGCCCACCAGTGTCCCAGCCCCAGCCTCTGGGAGCCAAACAGGGCCAGGGCCCTAGAAGGAACCTTGTGGTCAGCTGTGCCCTTCTGGGCTGGGGGGGAGGGGGAGTTGCCCCCCCCTGCACATCCATCGTGGAAGGAAGAGACGAGGGGCTCAAAGGCCATGCACATGCTGATGCTTCCTGACTGGGCCCTCCGCCACCCCTGCAGAGCCAGCTCCCCCCCCCCCCCCCCCCCGGCAGCCGCTGGGGGGGTCGCTGTTGTGCACCTATGAGGAGCAGGGCTCTTCAGTGCCACCTTGACTACTCTGCAGAGCACAGCCCCAGCCTCTTGTCTCAGGATGCCTGAGGAGAGTGGGCTTCAGACCCCATCCTCAATGCAGAATCCAACCCTCCCCTCCCCATGGCAGGCAGTTTCCAGGAGCAGCAATGGCAAGGGCCTAAATCAGCTGCAGGCACTTATGGCTCCACCAGGGGGCAGCAACAGCCCTTTACTGGCAGGGGAGCTGGAGAACTGGCCTCAGCCACAGGTCCCCTTCCTTGCTGGACAGTGGTGCCTGGACAGGTGTTTGATGACAGGGTTAGAGACACCCTGAAGTCACCTTCCCTGCGTCCTGACCGGGAGGGGTACCCACACCGAACTGAGGACCTCACCCCTCAGCCACAGTTAAACACACATCTCAGCTCTGCCTCTAGGTTGCTTACTCTCTGCTGGCCTCATCCATGAGGACTCCGCTGGCATGACCCAGGGCCCTTCACCTCCGCCAGCCTGGCCCCCTCCCTGCCCAGCCACAGGGCCCCGACGCGTCCCTGGAGCTCCAAGGGCTCCCGGAGCTTGTGAGAAAGGGCTTCAAACTCCTCCGAGTCCACCCAGCCCTGGATCCCTGCGCAGCCCACCCCTGCCGCCACCTACCTCCTCATACAGGGACATGCCTCGGGCTGTGTCCAGGCCCTTGGGCCTCTTGACCTGAAAGGACAAGAGAGCCTGGTGACCCCGGCTGACGCGGCTGGGTCCCCTCCACCCACCTCCGCCCCACTCGCTGGCCTCCGTTCACCAGCCTCCACTCACCAGCCTCCGCTTCTCCAGGCAGACGCGGAAGCTCCTGGCTCTGTTGGGCACCAGCTTCCTCAGGGGGACCCGCAGCTCCCCGAGTGGGGGGGCGCTCCGCCTTCGCCGCAGCCGGGAGTCCTCACACACGCACAGCCTGGTGGGCCTCGGAGTCGGACCAGGCCGCACCCCCCACCCCCTCCACCACCCCCTCCACCCCCCCTTACCCTCTCCACCCCCCCCATCGCGATCAGGGGCCCCACCTCCACCCCTGCCCGCTCCCTGGTGGCCCAGGCCCGGTGCTCACCGCAGGGTCTTGTGCCCAGCGTCCTGGCAGGTGAAGCCGTGGTAGGTGAGGGTCTCCTCCCACACCGGTCCCCTTGCGCCCCGAACCGTGCGTGTGCGAAGCTGGCTGGCCTGGACATCAAAGTGGGTGAGGCCACGCGCCCTCCTGAGCCAGGCCTTGCGGGTGGGGAGATGGGGGGGCCGGTGGGGGGCAGCAGTGGAGGCCCGCGCCTCGCCCTTACCTTGCTGGCCCCTGGCAGCAAGTTGGCTTTGACGTAGGTGTCCACAGAGCCTGAGGCAGGTGGCTTGAGGCCCTGCGGGGAGAGAGGACAGGCTGGGGTTCGCCCTGGACCCCCTTTCCATGCGGGGACACCGGCCCCCTCCTCACCTTGGCGCGATGGGCCGTGCAGTGCAGGGCACTGTTGTCCGCGTCGAAGAGAAGCGTGAACTCCAGGATGCCCAGGGCAGCTGGGGGCGGGGGGAGGCAGGGTGGGGTCCCCCTGCGGCTCCCCCAGACCCCATCCCGGCCGTCCCCTCCCCTACTCACTGCTGTCATCCGAGTCCTCCTCTGGGTCTGAGTCGGGTGGCGGCAGGGGCGCCGCGCGCATGGCGGGGTCGGGGTCCGCGCGGAGCGGGGGGCGCCGGGCGGGCTGCGGCGCGGGGTAGGAGTGCGGGAAGTAGGCGGAGATGAGGCGGATGGGCCGGATGGGGCCGGGGCTCACGTCGATGGCCATGTGCTCCTGCATGCTCACGCGCTTCGGGCGCCGCGCGCCCGCCGGCGCCGCCGCCGCCATGGGGGCTCCCGCATGGGGTCCCCGCGGGCCGGGGACTGGGGCGCCCCGACCGCCCGGCCCGCCGGGACGGAGCGCAGCCGCAGCGCCGCCCGCCCGGCTCGCCGCGCCGCGGGCACCTGACTGGGGCGGCCCGCGGGGAGGGCGGAACCGCCCGGCCCGCCGTCACTCTGTTATTTTTACCGCGGTCATGCGGCCCCGCGGGTGAGGCCGGAGGTGGCGAGGGTGCGGGGTGCGGAGAGGAGGCGGCGGGCCTGGCGGGGGCTGAGAGCGCAGGGGGGAGGCGGGCCAGGGCCTGGGCCAAGGGGCGGGGCGGGGAGCTGCGGGGCGGAGCCTCGGGGGGCGGAGCCGGGGGGCGGGGCGGAGAGCTGCGGGGCGGAGCCTCGGGGGCGGAGCCTCGGGGGGCGGAGCCGGGGGGCGGGGCGGAGAGCTGCGGGGGGGGGGGGGGCGGGGAGCTGCTGCGGGGGGGGGGGGGTGCGCGGAGCTGCGGAGGCGGAGCCTCGGGGAGCAGGGCCGCGGGGCGGGGCGGGGCCGCGGGGGGCGGGGCGGAGAGCTGGGGGGGGGAGCGGGGAGCTGCCAGCCCAGGGGGGAAGCCCATCGGGGTGGCGCGGGACCCACGCAGCCCACCAACCCCCACCCCGGCCCTGGCCCCCCAGCCCACCACCTTCCTTCAGCTCCTCAAGTGTTGCACACCGGCAGCCTGGCTGGACTGCCCGATCGTGTGTGAGTGTGTGTGTGTGTGTGTGTGTGTGTGTGTGTGTGCCTATGTGCCTATGTGTGTGTACTGAAGCTAGAACGCTGGGCCTCACACTATTGGCTTAATCTCTCAAGACTGGCACTCTACCACTTGAGCCACAACTCTACTTTCTACTTTTTGCTGGTAACCTGGAGATTGAGTCTCCCGAACTTTCCTGCTCAGGCTGGCTTCAAGCCCTCAACTCTCAGCCTTCTGAGGAGCCAGGATTGAAGGAGTGAGCCATTTGCACCTGGATTGTGCTTTTACTTTTAAACTCTTAATTGAGAAATCACATGCAGAATGAGGTGATATTCCAGTGTAAGTATGCTGCGTACAAAGGTGACATCCAGCTAACAGGCGTACTCACCCCCTGTGGGGTGATGAGGTTTCAAACTCACTATTAACTATGGTGGCTCCCTGTGCACAGGTCACCAAAGCACCCTCCTCTTGTTTAACCGGTTCCCCTTAACCAACACCTTCCTTGTCCCCTTCCCAGCCCCTGGCCACTGATAACCTCTGCTCTGCATTTCTCTGCGCATGTCTTCCAACTCCATCCCTGTTCCCGCAAATAACAGGATCTCACAATCTTCCTGTCTCAGCCTCCAAAGTACTGAGTCACAGGTATGCATTGCCACACTGGCAAAATTCTCTTCTTTTTAAAGGCTGAATAATACTCCATTCTATTCCATGTAGATAAATCACATTTTCTTTATCCATTTGTCTGCTGATTGGTTTAAGTTGATTCCTTATCTTGGCTATTGGGAATAGTGTTGGAATGAACTCGGAAGTGTGTGTCTCCTTCACCATGCTGATTTTTTATTCCTTTGTGTTTATACACAGACATGGGATTATGTTCCATGTAACTAGCATGACAAGTTAGTTTTTTGGGGGGCAGTGGTCCTGGGTTGGCCTCAAACTATTATCCTCCCCATTTCAGCCTCCAAGTAGTTGGTATACGTGTATTGCAGATGTGAGTCCCTGTGCCTTGCTCTTTTTCGGATTTGTGTGTGTGTGTGTGTGTGTGTGTGTGTGTGTGTTACAAAGGTTTGAATTCAGAGTTTCGTGCTCCATAGGCAGGTGTTCTGCAGACAAGCCAGTCCTCCGGCACTTTTTGCATTAGTTATTCTGACAGGGTCTTATTTTTTGCCCTGGGCCCACAGCAGGACTGTGATCCTCATTATTTTTTAATGTTTTATGTCATATCTAGGATGATAGATGTGCATATGCCCAACTTCTGTTGAGTTCAAATCTCTTAAACTTTTTTTTTTTCCCCTCCTAAACTGGCCTGGAACCACAGCCTCTCAATCTCAGCCTCCTCCTAGCTGGAGTGACACCTATGGGTTAAGAAAGGTCTTGCCCAGGCTGGCGTTGAACCTTGATCTTCTTGATCACAGCCTTTGAGTAGCTTAAGATTACAGGAATGACTCAATGCTTCTAGCTCTCTTTAGTTTGGTAAAGAACCTTCTACCATTTTCTACAAAGACTATAGCATTCCTGCTTGGCTTTTTCCACTTGAGTGTTCTGCCACTTGAGTCACACCTTCATTTCTGCCTTTTTGCTGGCAAACTGGAGACAAGAATTTCAGGGAGGGGCTGGGAATGTGGCTTAGTGTTAAGCATGAAGCCCTGGGTTTGATTCCTCAGTACCACATACACAGAAAAAGCCAGAAGTGGCACTGTGGCTCAAGTGGTAGAGTGCTAGCCTTGAGCAAAAGCTCAGGCACAGTGCTCAGGCCCTGAGTTCGATTGGTAAAAAATAAAAATAAATTCAGGGATTTGCCTGCCCAGGCTGGCTTTGGACGTTGATCCTCAGCTCTCGGTCTTCTGAGTAGCTAGGATTCAGGTGTGAGCCACGGGCCTTTTCCTCCTTTTTTGAGTGCTGAGGATGGAACCCTGGGTTCCTCCTCCTCCCCAGGAGGTATGAAGTGACAACTCATTATAGCTTTGCTATATATTTCCTTAATGATTTGAAATGTTGATTCTTTTTGTTTTGTGGGGAAATGCCTGTCCTTTGTCATTTATTTATTTAGGTCATGAAGCTTGAACTTGGGGCCTGGCCACTGTCCCGGAGCTCTTTTTGTTCAAGGCTAGCACTACCACTTGAGCTACAGCTCCACTTTCGGCTTTTTCTGTGATTAATCAGAGATAAGAGTCTCATGGACTTTCCTGCCCAGGCTTGCTTTGAACTGCGATCCTCAGATCTCAGCCTCCTGAGTAGTAGGATGACAGGCGTGAGCCACCGCTGACTGGCTGCCAGTGCTTTTTGAATCCTGTAAAAGAAATTGCCCAGATTGGGGCTGGCAAGGTTGCTCAGTGGTAGAGCGCTTGCCTTGCATGCTCGAGGCCCTGGGTTCGATTCCTCAGCACCACATAAGCAAAAAGAAAAAAGCCGGAAGTGGTGCTGTGACTCAAGTGGTAGAGCTCTAGCCTTGAGCTGAAGAGCTGAGGGACAGCACCCAGGCCCAGAGTTCAGGCCCCACGACCGGACCCAAAAAAAAAAAAAGAAAGAAATTGCCCAGACCAATGTCTGAAGCATTTATATTTACCTGTGGCCTCTCCTAGCAATCTGAACCTTTCTTTAATCCATTTTTTTATATTGTATTCTTCCAGGGAACCTTTTCAGTCGAGGAGGCTCCTCCAGAAGCCCTGTCAGTCATGTGTTCAAATCTGGCAGGTCATGTGAGGAGCTCAGAGATGGCATGTGACCAAAGCAGTTGAATGAAGTGCAATTCTGAGTCGGACTGGCTGGGAAACAGAAGCTTTTCCTTTTGATGGAATGTGGGTGCTATGGCATCCTAGCGCTCCTGCCCTCTCTTTGTCTGTCCTGTCTGTGCACTAAGTCCCTGGGAAGTGAGGCCCGCAAAGTGGAAAGAGAAGAGAGTCCTCTACCAGGCCCAGGATCCCAGCTACGCCTGAAGCTAGCTATGTCTGGAGTCTATGATACCATTTATCTTCAGGCAAAGTTAGCTATGGGTGGAATTCTCTGCCTGACTTGACCTGCTGATATTGCCCAAGAAGTCTGCCCATACCACCCTGTCAAAGTCAGACCACCTGTTCCTTCAATGACCCTCAACTTGTTTCCACAGCCCTGGTCTATGTAAGTGATGTAGAATCCCATGACTATCTGCGACTGACAGTGTGCATGTGTGACCAGTGTAAGCCAGCCTAAGGTCCCCTCAGACTGCATATCCTCACCTCTAGCGCAGATTATAGATGTGTTCCCCTTGTAGAGCCTGCACACAAAGGCTCGGCACGTTGTTGTGTGGTCACATTGGGGGAGTAGATGCACCATATTCTAATCTGTGGACCCAGAGCCCCTCATGGGGACAAGCTTCTGTTGACACAGGCACAGAAGACTGAACGGCAGGAAGTGGCAGTAGTAACAGTCTGGCTTTCAGAGTCAGAGAGTCCAAGTGCAGATTGCAGCCTCGTGACATTGGGCAAGGAATCTTTCCATCCCAAGCTCCAGTCTCATGGCAGGGGCAGCGTGGAGGCAGGGCCACGCAGAATGCACCCCTGCTGCAGGGAACATGGACAGAGGAGCCCTGGCCAGCAGCCTCTGGAGCTGCCCACACAGAAGTCAGGCTCTCCACGCAGACATAGGAGCTCAGAGTTGTCAAAGGCTTTATTCCATCTCAGAGGGGCCTAGCAGGGCAAAGTCAGTGGCCGCAGAGGTGCCAAGCGTCAGTCTCTGGGGGGCTTAGGGCTGACAAGGCGGGGCTGGTAGGTGCCGGGAGCCAGCAGCTGCAGGGTGAACTCAGTGATGACGGCCGTGAGCCCCCAGACTCGGTGTGGTCCATGTAGGAAGACCGGAAGTGTGTAACTAAAGTGACCTCCCTGGCAGAAGTGAGTATAGCCCTGGTTCCGCGTCTGCAGCAGATGGTCCACGGGCAGCACAAACACCTCATCTACCTACGGGCAGGAGGCAGAGAAGGGTGGACAGAGGCCTGGCCACTGCAGCATCCCCCAGGGGGGCTACCCAGTCCCCTGGTGGTCCCCGCATTCACCTCCTTGGAGTTAGGCCTGAGGCTCTGCAGATCCAAAGGACCCACGCTGGCAAGCACTGGCACCACGGAGGCCTTACTCTGGTGTGCGAGCAGAGCACAGAGGCAATAGGGGGAGAAGGGAGGGCTGTGATCGGAATTCAGGAGGAAGGCCTCCCCTGGCCCGTCTAGAGGCCAGGCACACCAGCTGCTGACCCCTTGACCCCACTCTAACCATTCGCCTGACTCAGAGCCCCAAATGCACTAGGGCCGCCAATGTCCCTTGCTCTGCGCCCCCCCCTTCCCCCTGCGTAGCACCCCTTCCTCCTCTGTAGGACACTCAACTTGTCATCCAGGCCGGGGATCCATCCCTGAGCTTTGTCCGGAGCTAAGCGGGGCTCCCACCCCAGCCCCCGGGACCACGGAGCTGTGAGAGGCGGAAGGCCAGGCCCAGGCTTGCTACGGCAGCCTGCGGGAAGCCAAGCCGTGGCCACTCCCCTGGTCCGTGGGTGAGGACGCAGGTCTCACCTGGTCAAACACGGGGTGCAGGAGGCCCCACACCTGCTCCTCCGACACGGCCAGGCCCAGCTCCTCCTGGGTCTCCCTCAAGGCCGTGTGCACCACGTCGCGGTCAGCAGGCTCGCTCTTGCCGCCTGGGAAACTGAACGGACACAGGGACTGGGCCTGGGGCTCACGGGGACGAGGGGGGTGCGGAGGGCTCAGCAGTGCCGAAAGGCTGGAGGAACTTGCTGGAAGTCTGCGGGCAACCCTTGCCACCCAGAACACTGGAGGGAGGGAGGGAGGCTCTGGGCAGGGAGGGTACGAAGGCGGATCTAGCAGCAAGGACAGGAATAACCCGGCCCAAGGCGTCCCGGAGTGGCGTCCTCGGTTCCGGCCGGGGGCGGAGCCCAGCAGCCCGGCCCCGCGCCGCTCCGGCCCCGGCTCGCCCGGGACGCCGAGGGGAAACGCCTCGGGGGTCGCCATCGGAGGCGCAGGGCGGGCCCAGAGCCAGCTCCGAGGGGCGGAAGCCGCGGCCCCGCTCCTTCCCCGGGCCCCGGCCTCCCGCGGAAGGGAGCGCCGCCCGGTACCTGACGTCGCCCTTGTGCCGCCCGGCCAGGCGGCTGGAGCGCAGCGTGTACAGCAGCGCGGGGACGCCGCGCGCCAGGCACAGCGGCACGAGCACCGCGGCCGCCGCGGGCCGCGCGCGGAGCCGGGCCGTGCTCCCCGCCAGCAGCCGCCGGCAGCGCCGCTCGCTCTCGGCGGACAGGCAGTCGGGCCGCATGTCTGGGGCGTCGGGGGCACCGAGGGCGCCGGCCCGGGCGAGGGGCGGGCGCGCTCCCGGGGCTCCGCCCCTGGCGGGCCGGGCCGGGGAAGGCGCGGGCCGCGCCGCCTCGGAGGCGTGGCCTCGAGCGGAATGGGGTGGAGCCTATGCGGAAACCCGAGCCCTGAGTTCCTGTGAGTGACGGGAGGGCGGGGCCTGAGCGGGGTGAGGGCGTCACCTCAGGGAACACTCCCTTCCTATTCGTAGGGAGTACCGAGACGGGGCGTGGTCACACCCACTAAATTTCCGGTCTGGGCGTGGCCCTCCCACAAGCTTCCCGGGGCTCGGCAGGCCGGGCGATCGCTGCTGTCACCTCCATAGGATCCAGCGGCGTCCTTCTGACCCTGGGCCTTGGGAGCTGGGGTCCCGGGCCGCTGGGAGCCTGCCAGACCCTGAGTCCTACGCCCCCACGGATGACTGGCCTTCCCCTGAAGGCCTCACACGAAGGCCTCCAGGTTGTGGAAGGTCAGAGCCCGGGGGTGACCCTTTCAGGAGGCTGAAGACCCGGCGCCATTCGCCTCTCGCCACCTCCAGTCTGGCCTGCCGGCCGGCTCAGTCAGACTGGCCTCCAGCGACGGCCCCCCAGGCTCTTCTCTGTCGGATCCCCAAGTTTCTAACTCCCAACCCTACCCTAGCCCCTCTGGTTCTGCGCCCTCTTCCAGACCAGATGGCCACCCCGATGCATAACGCTTGAATCGTGGAATGTCCCGTGTGCTGTGCTGTGTGACTTTGAACATGTCTCCACGCATCTCTGAGCCGGTTTCTATGCTCATGTGGGCCCATTAGAGCCAGACACAAGAGCCGCAGCCCCCTTCCCGGGTTTACGGTGGCAGCCAAGCCACTGGAAACACCAGTTACCATCTCCCTGTGTTCTGGGGATGCAGGTGTCACTGGGCCCAGCTTTAGGATGCTTACATGGCTGATGGGGGCACCCTGTTGGGGCTGAGCGTTCCTGAGGCCCCCAACCCCCCGGCCCTGAAAACAGAAGAGCTCTGACTACCCATGCCAAAGAGTTTAATGTTGGGGGAAGAGAAGTAAAGTGAGGTTTGAGGGAGTCACGCTGGGCGGGATTCACAGTTGCTTGAGTAGAGGCCTGCCATGTCCTCAGCTTTGCTGTGACTAGGCAGGTTGCATCCCTCTTAGACCCATGCTGCCCTGCTGTCCTTGGGCAGGGAGTCTCTGCAGAGGTGGAGCTGGAGGAGGTGGGCAGAAGCATAGGCTGAGTCCACTTCCAGTAAGAAGGGTCCCTGGTAGACTTCCACCATCATGGAGAGTCCTGGCCAGGTCCCAGGCCCAGGGCAGAACGGGACAGAAGTCCTAGGCCCGCTGGCAGGGTCAGACCTCCCTGATCCCCAGCAGCCGGGACATTGGGTAGGGGATATGGTGTAGGTCGGGCCCTGGGAATCCCGGGGTGGCGTGGAGCTCTAGGGTAGAGGTCCTGGTAAGTGAGGGGTCTGTAGGTGCTTGGGCCTAGCAGGGCCTCAGGAGAGGGCAGCAGCTGGTGGTGGAACTGAGCAGCCGTTCTGGAGGTGGAGGCCGAAGCTTTGCTGGGGTCTGAGGGAGAAGCGGTCTGAGTGAACCCCAGCTCTCCCCACAGGAGAGCCTGTCCCCTTCTCTGCCCCTCCTCTCGCAGATGGTCTGTCTCAGCCCATCTCAGCTTTTGGCCTTTGCTTCCCCTCTGCCAGGACTTCTTCCCCACCTTCTCAGGCCAAACCCTTCCTAGTCCTCCAGGGCCCAGCTCAGGAGACACCTCCTCCACGAAGCCCACCTGGCACCCCTTCCTCTGTGCTCAGCACCTGATTCCTGCCCTGTTCTCATTACCCCAGGTAACATATTGTCGTATGGCACCTGGGTTTGTTGCTGTCTGGACTATCTCTCTGTGTTTGGACTATGTTCCTCCTACCTCTCTCCCTCTCTGAGGAGTTCTTCCGCTGGCAGGGACCAAGACTGCTCCGACTCCGGGCTGGGATGCTCAGCAGGGGCCGTGGGGCCACAGGCCTGAAGGTGGGCAACAGAAATGGCAGCAGGGGGCAAAGGGAAGGAACCAGCCACAGAGTCAGAGGGTGCAACCCCCCGGCCAGTCAGAGGGCGTGACTTTGAAGCCGGGTCAGGAGTGGCCTTGGGTAGGGCTGGGGTTGGGTGGGCAGCTGAAAGGAATGGAAAGGCAGACCGTACCAGGAGTCCAGGTCACTCTCTCTAAATCCCTTGGCAAAAGGGTTGCTGGCGATTTTCAGCTGTGTGATCTACAGAGGAGAAAGTGCAGTTATGGGCTGAACCCAAGCCAGCAAGGGGGCAAGGCCAGGCTCGCCCACCCTGTCCCCCAGGTTAGCAGATTCCCCTGGACAGATGCCCAGAAAGACGGAGGGACAGGAGGCTTTGTGCTGTGGGGAGGAAGACGCAGGGCCGTCTCCACTCCTGTGACGTGGGCTGGAGGCCGTGAGCTCAGCCCCCACCCACCCGGTGGTTCTGGTAGGCGGTCACGGCGGTGAACTGTGTTTCCTCGAAGACGAAGGACTTGAAGTTCTCCTGGGCGTAGCGTGCGCTGTCCTTGCGTGGGTCCACGAAGACCACGTGGAAGCGGGGCTGGTAGCGGTGCATGGAGTTGAGGATGATCTGTGGGAGGCAGGGGAGGGGTGGAGCGGGCGAGGGCCACAGTGCACCTTCCTGGGGCCTCAAGCCATCTCCCCAGGGCAAGAGACCTTCCCCCTCCCGCCAAGCCCACCGCCCTTGCTTGAATGGGGGTACGTGGCTGAACTTGTATCTTCAGTTCTAGATCAGGGGCCCCTTTGGAGTCTGACAATCTTCACCCCACCACACACCTTAGCTTTACCTTCAGAATGATCCAGAATCTGGTCCCCTCTCCCACCCACACTACAGGGCCAGCCACTAACCACCATCTTTTATCTGAGTTCCTCACCTACCCCCTGTGTCCACCTTGCCTCTGTCTGTTCACCACCTAGCAGCCTGGGTCAGACACATCAAGGTCCCTGTTTCAAAGCCTCCTATGGCTCAGCACCCCCTACCCCCAGAGATGCAAAACCAGGGTCTCTCTCTGAATGATCTCTGCATGACCATGGCTTCCCAGCCCCTTCAGCCATATGGAGACCGCCCCACAGTTCTTCCAACTCACCGCACAGGCTGTGGACTCGGCCTTGGCACTGGCCATCCGCGGGGCCTCAAACAGCCCCCCTCTCATCCACTTCCCTCCCTCACCCTCGCCCTTCCCATCTCTGTTCAAATATGGCCTCCCAACTTCCGGTTTCCTTTTTGTCATTTATCATAATCTGTGGCATATGTCTGTTGGATTGTTTTTTTGGGGGGGGGGGTCCTAATACTGAGGCTTGAACTCAGGGCCTCTCATTCTTGGGTTTCTCATTCAAGGCTGGCATTCTACCACGTGAGCCCCTGTTCCACTCCTGGCTTTTTGGTGGTTAATTGGAGATAAGAGTCTCATGCACTTTCCTTCCTCCAGCTGCCTTTGAACCACGATCCTCAGATCTTAGCCTCCTGAATAGCTGGAATGACAGGCGTGAGCCACTAAGGCCCAGCATGTCTGCTGGATTCTTGCCTGGATGTTCCAGTACCTACAGCGAGCCTGGCCTGGTGCTAACGTTACACACATTGTCCTCTGTCTCTCTGGAAGCTTCTCCCACCCCCAGTCCCATTCCCCACCTGCCTGGAGAGTGCTTTGTTTTATCCATACCCCCACCAAGTGAGCTTGGCTGTCGGCAGCCCCGGGGGGGGGGGGGGGAGGGAGGGGAGGGACATTGGGCACCCAGGGCCCTCTGGGCTCTGGCAGCTTCCCCGGCTCAGCCCCTCCCGCCAGGGCCCGGGCCTCACGTGACCGTTGTCATCCAGCAGGTTGTTGGTGAGCTTGAGCTTGTCAAAGGACACGATCTGGCGCATCCACTGGGCACCCTTGGCGGGCGAGTCGGGGTGGAAGTGCACGCGGCCCGGTGTGGCGGGGTCCGCCTTGCCTGCCACCAGCCAGGCTGAGCTGTGGAAGGCGTACCTAGGGAGCGGGCCAGGTGTCCAGGACTGTCCCCCACCCAGCGGGTGCTGGGGACACCCGCCCGGTGGACATCTTCCATTGGTTTTGGTGCTGAGGATGGAACCCAGAGCCTTGTGCAGGGGAGCATGTGGTCCGCCATGGGTCAACCCAGGCCTTTAAAGATGCAGAAGTAAAACTTAGGGAATGCCCTAAAACTGTGACTGCCCCTGGCTGGCAGGGGTCGGGACCCTGCCCTGCTCTGGAAACAGTTGGGGTCTACTCTCTCTCTCTCTCTCTCTCTCTTTTTTTTTTTTGTCAGCCGTGGGGTTTGAACTCTGGGCCTGGGCGCTGTCCCTGCACTCTTCAGCTCAAGGAAACACTCTGCTGCTTGAGCCTCAGGGCCACTTCCGGTTTTCTGGTGGTTTATCGGAGATAAGACTCTCATGGCCTTTCCTGCCTGGGCTGGCTTTGAACCGTGATCCTCAGATCTCAACCTCCTGAGTAGCTAGAATGACAGGCGTGAGCCACCAGCGCCCCGCTACTTCCTAGTCTCAGATGCCCCAAGTCTGAGTTTGCTCTCCTCGCCTTCCCCACCCCCAAGCTGCCGCCATACCTGTATCTCTTGTCATCCAGCGGAATGAAGTCCATGAGCAGAGCATAGTCGGCCAGGGTGTCCATGCCCAGGATCTTCACCTGGAAGGTGGGGAACATCTTCCTGAGGGAGCGGGGCGCTCAGCAGCCCCGTTGTGACTCAGCCCTGCCCTGCCCTGCGCCCAGCCCCTACCCGCGCCCCTACCTGCCTGCCTTGGTCACGATCATCTCTGTGCCCAGCTGGTTAAATTCCTCCCACAGAGGCTTCATCTCCAGCTGAACAGTCACGCCGGACACGCATGGGTTCTTGGGGCCCTGACCCGTGGGCTCGGCCACGGGTTCTGCTGAGCTGGTGCAGGGGCCTGATGGGAACAGGGTCGCCCGTGGACGCTCCCAGCTGGAGCTGGTCGCAGGCAGAGGGTAGGGCTCTGGGGGTGCAAGTACCCCCAGGCTGGCAGGCAGGAAGGCTGCGGGAGAGGATGCAGGCATGGGCCCTTGCCAGCTCACCGCCCAACCAGCCCTGCCCCTTCAGGAACCTCTTCCTCCAGGAAGCCCTCCAAGCATGCCAGGCTTGCATTCCTACTCTTCCCTGGGCAGTATTGTTCCACAAGGCTAACGTTCACTTAAAAAGTCTTTTGTAAGACCCAGAGGCATGGCTCATGGAAAACACCAGCCATGAGTGAAACACCTGAGTGAGAGCACAGGCCCTGAGTTCCAGCCCATTTATTGGTGCACATACATGTGCACGCGCACCCATGCACATGAGCACGCGTGCACACGTGCACACCTACACACACACACACACACACACACACACACACATACCTTTTTTCCTAGCAAGCTCCTGGAGGGCAGAGACAAGGCTTGTCTTGCTCCCCAGGGAGCTCGTCTTTTCCTTGCGCGTGAGCCACACCCAGCTTTGCTTTCCTACTTTAGTTCACTTCAGTCAGGTCTCACCCTTTCGCTCTGAGGCCTGCTGTGACCCAGCTCCTCCTAGTGCCCCTCCGGAGCAGCCGTGTCGTGGGTGCAGGTCACCTGGCCCAGCCTCACTGGGGATGTTTGTGAGCCGGCCTGTGGCTGTCTGCCTTGGAGGAATTATTTCACTTCCTGGAGCCTCAGTGTCCCTGTCTGTCACTAGGGGTTGGTAAGACCTGCCCTCAGGGCTGATGTGCGCGTTAGTGAGGACAGCTGCGGCACACCACCCGCACACAGCAGGTGATTTGTCACACGTGTGGAGGCTGTGGGGGGGGGGGGAGAACCTGGAGTCCTCTCCAGTCCCCGTGATTATCCACTCCACACTTGGAGAGCTGCCAGGTCCTGCCTCCAGGTCCCTTCTCCCCCTCCTCCCCCTTCCCCTCCCCCTCCCCCTCCGCCTCCCCTCCCCCTCCTCCTTTCCCTCCTCCCCTTCCTCCCCCTCCCCCTCCTCCTCCTCTTCCTCCTCCTCCTCCTCATCTTCCTCCTCCTGCTCTTTCTCCTTCTTCATCTTTTTTTTTGGTCAGTCATGGGGCTTGAACTCTGGGTCTGGGCGCTGTCCAGCTGTCAGCTCAAGGCTAGCGCTCAACCACTTGAGCCATAGCGCCACTTCTGGTTTTCTGGTGGTTCGTTGGAGATAAGAGTCTCATGGACGTTCTTGCCTGGGCTGGCTTTGAACCGCAACCCTCAGATCTCATCCTCCTGAGTAACTAGGATGACAGGCGTGAGCCTCCAGCGCCCAGTGAGGAAGCCCCTTTTACAAGGCTGTGCCTCTCCCAAGAAGCAAGCCAAAGATGGGTCTGCCTTCCACCCCCAACTCAGCCCCCAGGGCTGACCCCCACCAGATACTGTGTGCATCTGTTAAGATGCCCATGGGAAGAAGAATGAGAATACACAACAGGAACCGGACCCTCATGATCTGTGGGTGGGACTTCAAAATGGCAAAGAACAGGGCGGCTCCCCAAAAAAGTGGACAATGGAATTACCAGATGATTCAGTGATTTCCCCTTCTGACCCACCCCAGAAGCACTCCAAGTAGGAACCCAGACAAAGTTCATAGCAGGGTGATTTGCAGAAGCCAAAAGGGAGAAACAGCTCAAATGTTCATCAACAGATGAATGGCTAAATAAAATGTGTAGACACACAATGCAACAGTATTCACCCTTCAAAAGGAAAGATGTGCTGACCCACTGTACAGGTGACATACACACAGAAGGACAAATCTGATTCACAGGGTGGGAACAGAACTGTGGCTGGGCTGCCAGCACCTGGGAGATGGGGACAGAGTTTCAGTTTCATGAGACGAAAAGATTCTGCAGGGCTGGGAAGGTGGCTCAGTGGTAGAGTGCTTGCCTCGCATGCATGAGGCCCTGGGTTCGATTCCTCAGTACCATATGAGCAGAAAAAGCCAGAAGTGGCGCTGTGGCTCAAGTGGTAGAGCGCTAGCTTGAGCTGAAGAGCTGAGAGACAATGCCCAGGCCCAGAGTTCAGGCCCCATGGCCGACCAAAAAAAAAAAAAAGATTCTGCAAATGGCTTCTGGTGGTGATTGCACAACAGTATAAATTTACTTAATGCCACTGGGTCATACTGCACAATGGGACATGGGACCGGGGATATGGCTCAACTGGTAGAGTACTTGCCTAGCAAAAACAAGGCCCTGAGTTCAATCCCCAGTATCTCAGAAGAAGAAAAAGGTTAAAATGATAAACTTTATATTATATTGTTCGCACATATTCTAACTAAAACTTTTTTGTTTTTGCCAATCCTGAGCCTTGAACTTGGGGCCTAGGCATTATCCCTAACCTTCTTTTGCTCAAGGCTAGCACTCTACCACTTGAGCCACAGTGCCACTTCCAGCTTTTTCTGTGTATGTGGTACTGAGGAATTGAACCCAGGGCTTCATGCATGCTAGGCAAGCACTCTACCACTAAGCCACCTTCCCAGCTCCACAACTAGAATATTCAAACATGCAAAAAGAGAAAAATAGAACAGTTCTGAAAAACAGAATAATTAGTTTATATCAACCCTATAAAAGGTTGAGGACACAATGGTGGCTGGGCACCAATGGTTCATGCCTATAATGCTATCTACTCAGGAGGCTGAGATCTGAATATCCAGGTTCAAAGCCAGCTTGTGCAGACAAATCCAAGAGACTCTTCTTTCAAATTAACCAGCAAAAATCTGGAAGTGGAGCTGTGGCTCCACTTTGAGAAAAAAAAAAAGCTAAGCAAGAGTGCAAGGCCCTGAGTACAAGCCCTAGTAGCTGTGTGCACACACACACACTATAATGGCCAAGAGACACGGTGTCCATTCCTAACAGTGCACACCTCTCCTCCCAGACTGGGGGACATTCGTGCCATGGACCGGGGACCCCATTAGCAAGGGGCGGTGTTAGGAGCTGGTGGGCAGTGAACTGACACATGGATGTTTGGAGATGCCTGGCCAGGACCTGCCTATAATGAGGAACCAGAGGCAGTGCCTGTCCAGGGTTGGCGGTCCCTGTGGAGTGTGTGGCTCAGGGTTTATGCCAGGACCTCGGCAGCCCAGAGACTCATGGTGAAGGCCAGCACGGCACTAATGCCCCATAGGATGGCCATAGTCTGGAGGATGGTGTCTGGGTGGGCAGGGCATGTCCTGTCTGGGACAGGAAGTCTGGGTGGGCTGATGTCCCTCCCCCCCAACCTGGAGCCAGGTGATCAGAGGGCCAGCTGCCTGTCACTCCGCAGCTGTACTGAGGCGGTAGCCCTCACTAGCTCCCAGGGGCCCATGGAGCTGGGTCCCCAGGGGGCGGGGCTCGGGCTTTGCAGGTGCTCACTGGCCCCAACTCTTCTAGAAACTCTCCCTACTCTTCCCCCTCTGGGGGAGGGGGCATCCTGTGTCTGGTCCTTCTAGAAGCCCAGCCCCATACATGCTCCATCCACTGAGGCCCAGAAAGGGCAAGGGCAACACTAAGCTCACGCATGCAGGCGGAGGCTCTCAGTTCTCAGATGCGCTGTGGTCCCCCTGCCTCCGGGCATCCCTATCATGGCCCCCCCCCGTACATCAGAGACACAGCTCAGGGAGCCCCTGCCCCACCTCCCGCCCATGCCGTGGTCCTCCTGTGCCCTGGAACCTAGGCACCATCCATGAGGTCACCTCTGCTGCCCACATCGTACCTGCCATGGGACCGCCGGATGCCTGGCTCCTGGACAAAACCTCCACGCTGGGGCTGGGCTGCAGCCTCCGCCCGGGCTGTCTCCCAGGAGGGGGGTCAGCCACCGTCTGCGGGTGTGCTCTGCACCACGGCTCACCCTCCCCTCACCAATCTCCGACTGCGCAAGTCCAAGCTGGACACCTTGGCTCTGCAGGTGAGGCCTGGGCTGCGGTCCTTCTCCAAGCCTCCTTTCCACTGCAGTGTCTGGGGCTGGGCCACCGGTGGGCTAGTCCAGCTCAGGGGCGGGTACGTACCAGACAGGGGCAGGCGGGCAGCTTCTGACGTCACAAAGCCCCCCTTCTCTTAGTTCTCCCCCCCCAGCTCCCTCCCTTCCCCAGCTAGGAGCCCCCAGCCATTGCTGATCAATGGATCTGCACAGGGGGGCAGGTAGGGGTGCCTTGTGAACATGGTTTCCAGGCCTGGCTGCTGGACGGGACAGGCCTCGGGCCTTGAAGGAATTGGGGCTGTGGTAGCGTAGCAGCTGAGGGCCAAATGGCACAGGCGGTGCTCCTGCCCCAGGTCCCAGACCCCAGGCCTGCGGGGGGGGGGGAAGAGGGGGGAGAGGGCAGGGTAAGGGAGGGGAGATGTGTAAATTAGAAATGCCAGACTCCGGAGCGTGAGCCACCAGTGGTTTATACCTGTCATCCTAGCTACTCAGAGGGCAGAGATCTGAGGGTTGCAGTTCAAACCCAGCTGGGCAGAAAAGTCTATGAGACTCTTATTGCCAATTAATGGCCAAAAAGACAGAAGTGGAGTTGTGGCTCAAGGAATAGAGTGCCAGCCTTGAGCACAAAAGCCCAGGGAGAGTGCCCAGGTCCTGAGTTTCACACCCCAAGCCCAGCGTGCATGTACGGGTACGCGCGCGCGCGCACACACACACACACACACACACACACACACACACACACAGAAAGAAACACTGGAGCCCCCGACACTTGGTCAAGTGAGCTGGGAAACATTTCAAGATTTCTGGAGTCCTGTACCTCAGTTTCCCCAGCTGACTTCTGCATGATCTCCCCAGCCTGGCCTGGGGAGTGGCAAGGCTTCCCTGTCCGGAGTGGGTGATGGTTGGCCCTGTGGTCCCCACGCGGTCTGCATGGGAGCTGGGAAGCGGTCAGCGGCCTGTGGTGGCTGTTGTTAGCTGGGGTCTGAGTCAGGTGGCCCCCGCTGGGTCAGCTGCTGGACTGCTCCGGCTTCGCCAACCTTGGGTTAACCCCAGAGTCCAGAGAGACACTTGGGATCCTCCCCTGCCCCCGCCCCCCGCAGCCCTCCCCCTTCCCCCTCCCCAGGCCTCAGGCAGCCATGCTCTTCTCCCACCCCTTGCTCTCCTCCCGCCCCTTCGGAGTGCAGGCTGGCTCTGACCCAGCCAGAGGGTGGGAACGAGCCCTGCCATTGGAGGCCATGCTGTCACCTCTGGGGCCGTGTCCCAGAATCTCCCAGGGCCTCCTGTGTCATGAGGCCACTCCACCCTGTCCCAGGCTTCTGGTGTGGGGGGGGAGTAGGAGAGATGATGAACAGCTTGGGGTCCCCGTTGGCCTGGGACACTGGGGCTCTGTGAGCTCCAGACATGTGTGCCTTTGATCTGAAGGGTGGGGCTCTCCCCCTGCCATCCCATGAGCACCCACCCGTGCCCACCTGTGCCCTCCAAGGCCTGCTGGCTCCCACTGTGCGTGGACACAGGCAAGGGCGCCTCAGCCACGCATGCACGGAGCCAGGCACGCCCTCCTGCCAGCCCGGCCCTTCCAGCCCGAGGCGCCCACGGCCCCCCTCTGCTCCCTCATCCATCTTGACTGCCAGCCCGTCCCTGGTGCCCCCGTTTCCTTCACACCTTCTCATCTCCCGCTCAATACCCTAGCATGGCAGCCATGGCCGCGGGGAGATGGATGGGCCAGGCAGGGGGGCTGCCGAGGCCGGGGAGCGAGAGACTAGGAGAGGACCCAGCGCTGGGCTCCAGACGCTGGACAGTCCAGCCAAGCCCTGCTTTGCTTGCATTAGGGAGGCATGGCCAGAGGGGCCCCGGCCACAGGCCCCACCTAGCCTATCCGGGCACCTACAGAACGGAGGGGCTGCGGGCCCTGGACCCTGCGCCAGCTCCCTCCCCCGACACCATTGTGAGGAACCAGGGGATGGCGGAGGGGGTAGAGGAGAGCCCTGGCTTCTCTGCGTCCTGTGAGGACTTCTCCCTGCCCTGCCCCAAGGCCCCCTCCCCTCCGCGCCCCTGCAGCGGACAGCTGCTCTGAGGGTGCAGCACACCTAGAATGCACGCGTGGCCTCTGAGCCCCGCTGCAGGCAGACTCTCAAGGGTGCCAGGTGCCAGGACGTGGATGCTCACACACACACACACACACACATACACACAGGTGCGCACACACAGGTGCCTTTATTTGTCCCCCTCCAGGTCCAGGACTACAGGGGGACTCGGGTTTCCTAGGGATTGTGAGCCCCCCTCTCCAGGTCTTCCTCACACACACAACAGTTCTAGACCTATCCCAGATCCTGTGGTCAGCCCTCCCTTCCTCCGGGCACGCACAGGACAGTGGACAGCAATCCTGGCTCTCTGGCCATTGCATGGGGGGAGGGGCGGGGGGCTCTGTCTTTGAGCTGGGCCTCATATGGGTTGGGTTAGAGAGAATGGGTGAGGGCAGAGGGCAGGGGTGGCAGGGCGGGCACAGAGGTCATGATTTTCTCAGTCTTTATAAAGGCTTTGTGTGTCTTATAGTAGGCGGCCTCGTTGATAAATATGGGGTACATAGTACGGTCTCCCTGGTACAGCACATCCTCCCCACTGAACAACTGAAAGATGGGTGCACCGGGCTGGAGCGGCTCAAAGTCTCGGTCCTGGGAGAAGCCAAGGTTAAAGGTTGCTGGGTGACCATTGTTTGTACCCAGGGAAGCAGGGAAACTTTTACGGATACCTGCCCCCCCAAAAGATGCTCCCTTCCATCCAGCCTTGCCAGCCTACTCTGCCTCTCTCAATCCATCTGAACTGTTGTCACTTAACATTGATGAAGCAGATGGGCAGAGCTGGCTTAAGGCCCTGAAAGGATGGGTGCTCCCTGCCCCTGAGGGGTTCCCTGACCCGAAATATCCTTATACCTGGCTACAAGATAACCTATCTAACTCCTTGAAAGATGGCTTCAGGGAACAAAGCCAGGGGACTGCACAGGATCCTGTTCCACAGCGCCCCCTGTGGCAGCAGGCAGAGCAGCAGCTGCCAGGCTGCTGCTTCCTCCCGGCCACCCACCCCTCTGACAATCTTGGGCCTGGGGATGTTCATGGACCCGTTTGAATTGTGTCATGCCATCTCCCCATCCATTCTCCTGCATTCTGCAGGAGGCCCTGGCCTCTTCCTGGGCTCTGAGGATCTCTGGAGCCCCACTGTGCTGGGAACCCCTCCCCAGGGGCTTGTTTTCTGTGACACCCCCCAAACTCTGGACCAGCAGGCTCCCCTGCCCAGCACTGACCTGCAACTGGGGGTGCACCATGCCAGCTAAGTCCCCAGCCTCAGTGCGAGGGAAGTCCTCCTCACCAAAATTCTTGTAGACTTCCATTTCAAAGGCAGGAAAGGCAGTGCCTGTGACGGGGGGAGGGGGTATGGCGGGGAGAAGAGCCTTTCACTCCAGAACTCCAGGAGCCTACCCTCACCCCCAGATCTCAGTTTCCAGCAAATGCCTCCAGAGATCTCACCTTGGTTGAAGAGTTCGATGAAGTCCAGACTGGAGGCTACCAGGGCTCTCATCTGAGAGAATCTGTCTGCCCTCAGCACGCCCTGAGGCTGGGGGCCCAGCTCCAGAGCTGGGGACAGGAGGGGAGCAATCAGTCAGGAGACCTAGCTTGGTGCAGGCCCCAGGCTTCGGTCCTGGGCCCTGGGAGGCCTTGCCCTGACCCACCACCTCCTCTCCAAGCCCCGCCCCCAGGCCCCACCCACTCTGCAGACCCACCCATTCCAATCTTAGCCACTGAGTCCAGACTGAAGGTCTCCCCAGAAGGCTGGAACAGAAAAACCCGGCAAGGCAGCTCCAGGCTCTGTAGCTGGGAGCAAGAGAGACAGGTGAAGGCCTCAAGCCTACTTGGGAGGGGAGACTGAGGCAGGAAAGAGAACTGTTTCCTCTGTTAAGGGGACTTGGGCTGGAGAGACGGCCCCAGGCCAGGCAGAGGCTGCTCAGGAGCTGCCCCTGTCCTGCAGGCTCTGCCCCTCTCCTGGCTCTCCCTGCCCTCCGAGGACCCTGAGCCGGGGAGGGGCTACCTGCAGGTAGCGGCACATGTGCATGACAAAGACACTGCAGTTGGCCTTCGTTATGATGCAGGCTCCCATGTTGGCGGTGGTGTTGTGCAGGTCCAGGGTGAAGTCGAAGGCCTGGCCCGAGGCTTTGGGCCCCAACCACTGGTTCAGCTCTCGGGCCCTTGTCACCTCATATGGATCATCCGGGGTGGCCTTGGAGCTGGGGGGGGGGGGGGGCACAAGGGTTGGGACACCGGCCGCCCAAGAGTGTCAGTCTTCACTAGTTTAACTGGGGGATGGGAAGCCTCAGGCTGCTGGCAGGACCCACCTGTCCCCCAACTCAGTGCGGCTCAAAGCCATCATTGGCTCCCCGAAAGTTCAGGCTCAGTGGCTGGCGGCTAGCCAGCCCTCTCCTGGCTGTCCCGCCCCACCCTTCCCAGGCTCCGTGTTGGTCTCCTGGCCTCTGCCCTCTCCAAGTCCTCCACTGGAAATCTTTTCTCACCTGGGCTAACTTCTCACTTCTGGGGCTTGGCTGAGGCACTACCTCCTCCAGGAAAGCCTCCCTGACTGCACCTCGCTGGGTAGGATGGTCTGCGCGTAGCCTTCCACCCCTGGCTTTGTCTCCTGGTATTTGATGGCTGAGTTCCCCCTGCTCCCAATCAACGGAAGCTATGCCCCAATCACAGGACAGGGGAACAGTTTGCGAGGCTGATCTGAGGGAACCTCTGCATCTGGGGACGATCGAGGGGCCTGGCCCAGCATGTCGTCCGGAAAGCCTTCTTGCAAGAGGTGACATTGGTCTGGATTTCTCTAAACTGAGAGGGAGAACTGGGCGGTGTGGGCCGAGGTGTGAGTTCAGAGGAGGTTGGGGTGGGGTGAGGTTGGGGTGGGGTCCCCCCCCCCCCCCCCCCGCCGGGCACTCACTTGAGGAAGGTGCTAGTGAAGCTGCGGTTGAGGTCTTTGTGCACATAGCGGCGGCAGATGACTGAGGCCTCGGGGTTGGCGAGGATGGGGATGGCGGAGAAGCTGGGTCGCCTCAGCTCCTCGGGGCACCGCAGCCAGTGCCGGGCCAGGAACACGCCACACAGCTCATTGCCGTGGGTGCCCCCAGTCACAGCCACGCGGAGCAGGGGCTCCTGGGGCGCAGGCAGCCAGGACATCGCCCTGCGAGGTGGGCAGCGGGTAGTTGGGCACACACCGAAGCCTGGCACAGACTCAGGGCTCGGTGCTCAGAGCCCGACGGTGGTGCACTGGGGGGGGGGCGGGGAGGAGGGCTGAGGAGTCCAAGCTGGCAGGACGGGCACGTGTGGAACCAGGGAACGCTTCCAGCTGTGTCCCGCCCTTGTGCTCAGAAGCCTCCATGCATTTGTCCCACCCGGTGCCTGAGGCCTCTTCTAGAAGCTTCCATAGGCTGAGCTCTGCCCTCTAACTTACTGTAAAGATCTGGCTTTCCTTACTCCTTTCAGAAGGATGCTTCTCTCTCCTGTGCCAAAAAAGAGGGGTGCAGACATTCAGGGTTAGACTTGCCCAGGTGTACCTCCAAAGCAGACCTGTGTTCCCCCTGTCCAGCCTAGGGCTACTCAGAGCCGCTGTGCCATCTTTGGACAACATACCTGTGGATGCAGGCCTGGGCTTCCCTGGGCCAGGACTGCAGCGTAGGCCGCATTTTATGGGTCCAGCGCTGGCGGCACAGGGAAGGGAACCGCCCATGGGGGCAAAGGTCACAGCGCCAGGCTCCACCCACCCAGCTCTGAGTATCCAGCCACTGTCTGTCGCGTCCAGTTACTGTGGGCAGGTTTCCATTTGCGCTTCTATCCCCTCCCTGTCCCCCTGCTCCTCTGCTGAGAATGCCTAAGCTCGGCTCCCACCATCCAAGCACATTTAAAGCAAAGGTCCATTTTAATGTGGCTCATGCCTATAATCGTAGTTACACAGGAGGCTGAGATCCGAAGATCAAGGGTCAAAGCCAGTCCAGGCAGAAAAGTTCATGAGACTCCTATCTCCAGCTAACCTGGAAATGGAGGGGCAGCTCAAGTGGTGGAGCACCAGCCTTGAGTGAAAAGAGCCAGAGAGAGCGTGGGGCTCTAAGCTCAACCCCAGCACTGGTGTAAAATTAAAAAAGCCCAGAATGTTTGCAACAAAAGCTCCCATCATGCTTCACTCCTGTCCCAGTGTTCCGCAGGCCCCACGGAGGCTTCTTCCTGGCTCCAAGTTCATGCTATGGTTACAATAAAGACTGTGCTGGGCTGGGCACGTGGCTTAGTGGTAGAGTGCTTGCCTAGCATACATGAAGCCCCGGGGTTCGATTCCTCAGTATCTTATACAGAAGTGGGGCTGTGGCTCAGATGGTAAGGTGCTAGCCTTGAGCAAAAGAAGGTCAAGGACAGTGCCCAGATCCTGAGTTCAAGCCCCAGGAACTGGCAAAAAAAAAGGACTGGTGCTCTACCACTTGAACCACAGCTCCACTTCTGGCTTTATGGTGGTTAATTGGAGAAAGAGTCCCACGGGCTTTCCTGCTGGGTTGACTTTGAGCCGGAATCCTCATATCTCAGCCTTCTGAGTAGCTGGGATTACAGGTATGAGTACCTGGCTTGAGCATCACTTTAAACAAACACTGCATTTCCTCAGATGCTTCCTCCAGCCTCCTCTCCTTCCTGACCAACAGGAATCTTTTTTTTTTTTTTGGTCGTGGGGCTTGAACTCTGGGCCTGGGTGCTGTCCCTCAGCTCTTCAGCTCAAGGCTAGCACTCTACCACTTGAGTTACTGCACCACTTCCAGTTTTCTGAGTGCTTTATTGGAGATAAGAATCTCACAGCCTGGGACTGGGAAGGTGGCTCAGTGGTAGAGCGCTTGCCTTGCATGCATGAGGCCCTGGGTTTGATTCCTCAGCACTACATAAGAAAAAAGGAAAAAGCTGGAAGTGGCGCTGTGGCTCAAGTGGTAGAGAACTAGCCTTGAGCTGAAGAGCTGAGGGACAGCGCCCAGGCCCAGAGTTCAGGCCCCACGACCAGATCCCCCACCCCCCCCCAAAAAAAAAAGAATCTCACTGCCTTTTCTGCCAGGACTGGCTTTGAACCTGGATCCTCAGATCTCAGCCTCCTGAGTAGCTAGGATTACAGGCGTGAGCCTCGAGCGCCTGGCTTGTAACAGGAATCATTTTATCAAAAGCTTTTGTCTCAGATTGGATGTCATTCTTCAAGATAATTCTTGCTTCTTTCACAAGGTGTACTGATCACTTTTTTTTTTTTTTTTTTTTTTTTTTTTTTTTTATTCTTTTTTTTTTTTTTTTTTTTTTTATTGTAAAGCTACTATACAGAGGGTCAGGTCACAGTTACATGAGTGAGGTTATGAGTACACTTCCTCTTGAACATTGTTACCCCCCTCCATTGTTTTCCCCCTACCATCCCCTCCCTCCCTCCCTTCCCCGAGATTCTTTTTTTTTTTTTTTTTTTTTGATTGTGATTAAATGATTACATAATTTCAAAGTCACAAGTTCATTCTAACTTCCCTGGAGCAAATTGTCTACCACAGTCTGTAATATATAACAGTGTTCACATGTTATATACCATATTTGTGATCAGCAGCATGAGGATATTTAGTAGTGGTTCAACCAGATGAGCGGGAGTTCTTTGTTTCTTAAGTCCTGTTAGTTTTGTCGTATCACTAACCTTTTGGATTTAGCATCCACTTATGAGGGAGACCATGTACCGTTTGTCTCTTCGTTCTTGGCTTACCTCGCTCAACATGATTCCTTCTAGCTCCATCCATTTCCCTGCAAATGCCATTATTTTGTCATTTCTAATGGCTGCATAATATTCCATTGTGTATAGATACCACAATTTTTGGATCCATTCATCTGTGGTGGGGCTCCTAGGTTGTTTCCATATCCTAGCTATTGCGAACAGTGCTGCAATAAACATGGAGGTGCACGTGTCCTTGTATATTGGTTCCTGTTGTTCAGGGTAGATGCCTAGAAGTGGTATGACTGGGTCGTAAGGGAGGTCAATCTTTAGCTTTCTAAGGACCCTCCAGACTGCTTTCCAAAGTGGTTGTATAAGTGTACATTCCCACCAGCAGTGTAATAGGGTTCCTCTTTCTCCACATCCCCTCCAGCATTTGTCGTTGGCTGATTTGTGGATGTGGGACATTCTGACTGGGGTAAGGTGGTATCTCAGGGTTGTCTTTATTTGCATTTCCTTCACCACCAGGGATGATGAACATTTCCTCATGTGTTTCTTTGCCATTTTTATTTCTTCATTTGAGAAGTCCCTCTTTAGTTCCCTTGCCCATTTAGTAATTGGTTTGTTAGGTTTGGGAGGGATTAGTTTCTTGAGTTCCCTGTATATACAGGATGTTAACCCCTTGTCTGATATATTGCTGGTAAATATTTTTTCCCAATTAGTTGGTTGTCTTTCTAGCTTAGTTGCGATAGATTTAGCTGTGCAGAAGCTTTTTATTTTAAGGTAGTCCCATTTGTCGAGTCTCTCTCCAACTTGTTGTGACCCTGGGACTCTGTTCAGGAAGTTCCTTCCTGTGCCTATTAGTTCAAGTGTCTCTCCTACTCTGTCCTGCAGTAGTTTCAGAGATTCAGGTTTAATGTTAAGGTCTTTAATCCATTTTGAGTTGATGTTGGTGCATGGTGATAGGCTGGGGTCCACTTTTAGTTTTCTGCATGTGGCTGCCCAGTTTTCCCAGCACCAGCGGTTGAAGAGGCTGTGTTTCTTCCATTGTATGTCTTTGGCTCCTTTGTCGAATATCAGCTGGCTGTAGGCCTGTGGATTTATATCTGGATCTTCTATTCTGTTCCATTGGTCTTCGGGTCTGTTTTTGTGCCAGTACCATGCTGTCTTTGTGATTATAGCTCTGTAGTAGAGTTTGAAGTTCGGCATGGATAGCCCTCCCATATTGTCTTTATCCCCTAGAATTGTTTTGGCTATTCTAGGTCTTTTGTTGTTCCATATAAATTTTTGGACTGTTTTCTGTATTTCAGTGATGTACGTCATTGGGATTTTAATAGGAATTGCATTGAATTTGTATATTAATTTTGGAAGTATCACCATCTTTACTATATTAAGTCGGCCTATCCAGGAGCATGGGAGGTCTTTCCATTTCCTAGTGTCTTCTGCAATTTCTTTCTTTAACTTTTTATAGTTCTCATTAAATAGTTCTTTTACATCTTTGGTTAGGTTAATTCCTAAATATTTTATTTTTTGGGAGGTTATTGTGAATGGGGTTGCTCCCTTTATTTCCCTCTCTTCCTGTGCGTTATCAGTGTATAGGAAGGCAACTGATTTTTGTGGGTTTATTTTGTATCCTGCTATTTTGCCGAAGTGACTTATGATTTCTAAAAGTTTGGGGATGGAGTTTTTGGGATCGTGGAGGTATAGTATCATGTCGTCTGCAAAAAGGGATAGTTTCACTTCTTCTTTCCCTATGCGGATCCCTTTAATGTCTTTTTCTTGCCTTATTGCCCTGGCTAAGGGTTCTAGGACTATGTTGAAGAGGAGTGGAGACAGTGGACATCCTTGCCTTGTTCCTGTTTTTAGGAGGATTGGTTGTAGCTTTTCCCCATTAAGTATAATATTGGCTATTGGTCTGTCATAAATGGCTTTTATTGTTTTTAGAAATGTTCCTTCTATTCCTATTTTCTCCAGAGCTTTTAGCATGAATGAATGTTGAATTTTATCAAAGGCCTTTTCTGCATCTGTGGCGATAATCATGTGATTCTTGACCTTGGCTCTGTTGATATGCTGGATTACATTTATTGACTTACGTATGTTAAACCATCCCTGTGTCTCTGGGATGAAGCCTACCTGATCATAGTGTATTATTTTTTTTATGTGTTTCTGGATTCTGTTAGCTAGAATCTTGTTAAGGATCTTTGCATCTGTGTTCATCAAGGAGATTGGCCTGTAATTCTCCTTTTTGGTTGGGTCTTTGCCTGGTTTGGGGATGAGTGTGATATTGGCTTCGTAGAATGAGTTTGGGATAGCTCCCTCCTTCTCTGTTTCTCTGAAGAGCTTGAGGAGTATGGGTATTAGTTCTTCTTTAAAGGTCTTATAGAATTCTGCTGTGAATCCATCTGGTCCTGGGCTTTTTTTTGTTGGAAGACTTTTGATAGCTTCCTGTATCTCATTATAGGATATTGGCTTATTTAATTGGTTAACTTCTTCTTTGCTCAGTTTGGGTAACTTGTATTTCTCTAAAAATGCATCCATTTCCGCCAGATTTTCTTCCTTTAGAGAGTATAGCTTTTGAAAGTAGTCTGTTAGAATTGTTTGGATATCTTGGGTACGTGTTGTGATGTTTCCCGTGGCATCCCTAATCCTATTAATATGGGTTTCCTCTCTTCTTTTTTTAATTAATCTTGCCAACGGGCCATCAATTTTGTTTATTTTTTCAAAGAACCAGCTTTTTGTTTGGTTTATTTTGGTTATGGTTTTCTGATTTTCTAATTGGTTAATCTCTGCTCTCAATTTGGTTATCTGGCTTCGTCTAGTAGCTTTAGGTCCCATTTTTTCTTGTTTTTCTAGCTGTTTTAGTTGCAACATGAGATTATTTACTTGGTCTGTCTCCATTCTCTTGATGTGGGCACTGAGGGCAATAAATTTGCCCCTCAGGACTGCTTTTGCTGTGTCCCACAAGT